ACAGACTTCTGATCACCAGAATAGTGTTCTCTACTGGTCCCTCTCTCAAAACAACCAAAAAAAAGCAAAATAAATTTTAAAAAATGCAAGCACAGCAACACAAACAAGCAAACAAAAATAAAATAGGAAAGGTAAAAGTATTAACATTTGTAAAGACAGACATGAGATACTGCATTTAGGAAAATTATGCCCATCTATTTTAAATAGCGCAAAGTTCCTTAATTTGTTTTCTGGGTCACTGAAGCACGCAGGATTAGGTTGATTTATGTAGACATTGGCTGAAGTTATGAAAGGTGAGCAATTTCAACAATTAGCTTTTTACCACTCAGAGTTTGTGTAACAACATGTGTATGGATAAAATCATGGTTTTTTAAAAACTGCTAGTGTCTTTATTACATGCTGTGTAGATATTCATATTTTATGCAATGAATAAAGTGGACTATGGTTACATAATTGGTGTTTGTATTATAAACTCTAGATCTTGGCCAATGAAAGACTGGATTAGTTTGCAGAGGAATGGTAATGGAAAGGAACATTCTTAACCAATCAACCCACAAGGAAAATATCTAAAATAAGAATTCTGGGGATTGGTAAATCTGCAGCCAATTTATGTCACATAGATTGCAACATACAATTTTATAACTTACGGAGATGGGAAAATATACTGAATGAAGAGCATAGGTTCATATATATCAAAGAGTTCCTCCAACAGTGTTCAAGATACTGATTTTGTTATAAGGATGGCTGATGTCTCCAACATGATCCAAAATAATTACTTGAAATGTAATTGTCTTTCTGCGTTCCAAAATGATCATTACATTGAATTCCAGTCCGTGTTCAGGATAATAGAAAATAATTAGGATCCAAATAGATAAATAGTCAGCATATTAGTTAATATGAGAACCTGGAAGACAGTGAAAAAGCCATTTAGTCTCACTGAAAGGAAAAGAGCTTTATATAAATAAGCCCTCCTCCCAGCAGTTTTCAGAGCAAGATTAGCAAATACTATGCAAATTATCCATCTATTCTACTAGTTCTGTATTATATTTTTAATCTACCTAGAAAGAATAGTTCTCTGGGCAAATGATAAAGCTATTAAAAGAATACAAAATAGTAAAAACAGTAAGATACAATGGACTGAAACAGTCTGTTTTGAATCTGCTGCTCATTACTGAAAAATCAGCAGAAAGTTTTAAAGTATGTTAATAAAGATCATGGGCTGATTTTGGAGGAGGGCAGATTTCTTTCTCAAATACAAAATTCAAATGATATTTGTGCACCTATTTCTATATTTAATAGTCAATATTAGTAACTTGCCTGATGCCACAATAGTACAGAAAAAATATTAGTGATGAAAACCTAAGAAACTATCCTGAATATATATGGTGTGGGGGTAACACACTTAAGATGACTAGAAGCTACTAATGCATTCAGCTTACAGAAATGAAAAAACAAACAAGAAACCAGTTGTTGGCTTTAATTTAACTAATGATAAAATTACTTAATTTTCAAATTTTTCTTTAAACCTTATGTAGTAGTTAAAAATGTCAAAGGAAGCGAATAAACCACAGAATGAATGTTGATAAAGAACTTCCTAAGAATGTATGTACTAGATAGTGTCTTAATTTCTATAGCAAGAGTGTCAAAGGACCTTAAACTATGACTCATACAACAAAAAATATTTAGAATTTTTTGGACTCTACAACATCCATACAGAAAAGGATTGTCAAAAACAGCATTTCACTGGAGATGTAATAAGGATAATGCTTTTTTAAAGCATATGTTTTTACAATGCCCTATGCTTATTAAATTTTGTGAGAAAGTAGTGGACTATATAAATATGATTATGTGACAAAAGCTAAAATTTTCAGAGGATAATATTCGTTTGAACGATAT